ATTTTAGTTTGTTGGTGGGTTCAACTTGTCAAGAAAAGCGCTGAATAAAAGAACAGTTTGAGAAAAAAGAACATTGAAAAATATAGGATAGGGATTAAATCCCTTCTTTATCTATATTTTGAGATCCTTCACATGACTCGTTTATTTATAGAGGAATTTATTTATATGTTACAAAATATTGTTTTAATTATACACACATCTTAAGTAATATTTAGGGTATGTTTGGGGAAGCTGCAACTATTTGGAGAAACAATTGTGAAGCTACTGCAGAAGAAACTGTTTTTAAAAAGCATCAGTGATTATTACAAATTTATTTTATTTTCAAAAAGACATACCACCACTTACTAGCGGATGCCAAAAAAATTTCTAAAAATCAGCAAGAAAGTAGTTCCTCAAATAAAATTGTGGTGGCGGTCTGAAAAGCAAAATATACAAAAAGTTATCCCAAACAAACCCTTAGTCAATTTTTTTTATTCTTTTTTGGCTTATGAAGATAATGCACGTGGGCAACCGTATTCTCTCTTTATTTTCCTCTAGTGCATGCATTAATATTTTATGATAACTTGTTTCTATAATCACTCTGCATTATTAAAGCTAACCCAATGTAAGAGGCAATTCCACAAAGTATTGCTAACTGCCCAATATAGACCCAAAGGCTCCTTATCAGGGATCAGAGAGACAACCAACCTAGATTAATTAACCAAACCCTACTGACCAAGCTCAATTGATCAAATTGATCGAGTCGAGCCAAATCGGTTAAGCATTGTCGGCTGAGCCAGAAAGCAATCAGACGATATGAAAACACTTGTAAAATACCAGAAATACTCTAGTACATACCTTATCTAAATCGAGCAAAAATATAATATCACTATTGTACTATCACTTAAATAAACATGGGAGATATTTTATGAATAATCAACACAATTCATTAATGTTCATCTCTCTCTCTCTCTCTCTCTTAAAAGATGATCTTAATTTATTAGAATTAAATGAAAATATAACACTCAATATGACAATGGAGAAAAAGGATTCATGGAGCCAACCACACTTAATCTCTCTCTATTTACGTTCTATTCCTTGGGTGTGATTTAAGGACAATCTCATATTTAACACTCCCCAAACAAGAAAAATTTATCTCATTGTTTATTCGATCAAACTTGTTCAAGTTCAACCATAATATTCCCATCATACTCCCTCAAAGCTCAAGTACTATGCACCTCCATTCTTTTATTCATGGCATCAAATTTAACCATTAAGTCGGCGGTCTGATTCTTTGATGACTTTGGTCCAACTAACTATTATAAATAGATTATATGAATCATGTATTTAGAAACAAATGACTATTTAGTATTGTTAGGTATTTTTCTTGTTAATGTAGCTTAATGTATGCCCTTCCATTAGAGCAGAAGTCTAACACCCATAGTTTGATATTTACATTTATAACCGCATTGTGTCATAAACTTTATGCTAGCAGAAGTGTATTTCATTTTTAAAAAGACACTTATGATGGTTTTTCTAGCTGTGATGATATGCATGTAAATATAAATGTTAAGGTGTCAGATATGTAAATACATAATAAATGTTTGATATGCATGAAAATTTGTATTTCACTTTTTAAACGTGAAAATAATGATAATTTCAATATGATGTGAAGATTTGGATGATTTTAAATGTAAAAAAGTAAAGTTTAGATGATTGATATGTAAATACATAAAAAAAAACTGGTTGGTATGCATGTAAATGCCCAAAATATAACTTGTGGAGTTGTATTTTATGAGTATGAAGTTCAACAATAAAAAGTGCAGGCCAACTTAATTGATTAGTTGAGAGTTTAGGGTGTGCATGCATTTGCTCCCCACTCACTTAGAGATAATATAGAAAAAAAGATAGATGAATAAATGATTATATTAAGAGAATACATCATTATGATAATATATGATGGATTAACTACCGCTAATATTGCCTGACATGGACTGGCCCAACTCATAGTAATTTTTAAATCAACTAAATTCTTACAGGGCCCCTGCATTTTTTAAATGGGCTAAATTCCATGGCATCAATTTATTTAATGCTTCGTACGCATCCTGTCAAATCTTCTCCAAGTGACGTGCGACACCTTCCAATTTAAACAGCAGAGGTGGGCCTTAATGCAATGCATTAGGAATTTCATATATTTATTTACAAAATGAAATTGATTTAATCAATTTAACAAAAAATAATTATCAAATAAAATAAAAAATTTAATATGTAAAATAAAATAATTTTTTTTATTTTATATTTTGGAAAATTCAAATAATTTATTTTTTTATTAAGCTCTCAATTATATATATTATTTTTAGTAAAATATATGTTTTCATCTAAAATTAATAGCATGATTTTCTTAAATTAGATAAGGGGATTGATATTAATAATGAATAATATCATTAATAATAACATTTTCTTAAACAAATTATATTTTTATACTAATTTCCATATAAATTATTTAAAAATATAAACAAGTTATTCTCTTATTAAAAGAAATTGAGATTTTATTTTATTTTATTTTATAATAATGTCATTATATTAATAAAAATAATTGGCTTAAAATCACTCCTTTTTAATCCTGAGAGAAATGAACTGATTACAATACTATGGCCGGCATATGTTCATTGCATCATTGCACATGGTTCCTTGGTACCCACTGGCAATATAATTGTTATATTTATTGTAATTGACACCTTTTAAAGATAGGAAGATAGAAGATAACATTTTAAATTATAACATGTTTACTTATCTTAAGAAGACAATAATGATAAGGTGATGTTTGATGTTATTATCTGAACAACGTATTTTAATTTTAAATGTTCTTTTCAATATTTTATTATATTAAATATAGAAAAGAAAATATATTTAGGTCTCGTCAAATTAGATTTTATAATATAGAAAATTCATATAATTAGATCTTCTCAAGTTAGGCTACATAATATCAATCTTTCTAATATACATATATCCTAATTTACGAACGTTAAATTTTAATTTTCTTCATGAGTTACAAAACTAATTCTATTTTGAGCAAGCTTATTATAGTTGACATATTCATGCGAGATAGAAAATTCGTGACGATAGAGTGGTAGATTATCATCTTAGGGTTGTGCAAGAATTCTTCACACACTCATATAAAAATAAACAACAAATAGAAGGACCAGAAGTTTTTACGTGGAAAACTCGAAAAAGGAAAAACCACGCGATCTGACTCAATTGAAGAGATACAATATAACATGGTGATTACATTTACAGCCTCTTGTCCCACAGGCGAGAAAGTGTTACACAATCTCTTGAGTTACAATGTCGGTGCACAGATAAATTTGTCATAAGAATTAGGCGACAGTCGATTGTAATCAACGATAGCCGGCGAGTGGTGATTGGCGACGGTCAGCAACGAGGTGATGTTAGACTTCAACTCATTCTCTAAGCTTCAGTCTTCTTCGTGCTTCAAGCTCCATCCTCTCATGAGAGGGGTGGGGCTCTATTTGTAGAGTCTTGGTTATAACTAATGAAAGAATATGAGCTACTCTGATCAGACGGCTCAGAGAGATTTCCTCGATTAAATGACATTTGATGGATATTTGAGTGCCTTAACGATGTCAGACATGTTGGGCTCGTTCGATTAGTCTTGTCGAGATGTTAGATACGTCTATAAGCTCATTAGTTTCAACATTCGTTTGATCTTCCAAATGTGTCTGAAAACCTTCTTAAACTAGTTTAATGACTAGGGGCTTGATTTTATTCGAATTAGACCAATTTTGATATCATTAGGCTTTGCCCATTGAACTGTCAGTTTGACTATAATTTTGCTGAAATCAAAGCGCTGGATGCCTCTTAATTGAAGTTACCTTTTATTTATTAAAACAATTGTTATGCATTACAATTGATCTTCTCTTGACTAAATCTTAACACCAAATATGGAAATTCATTATGCGATATCATAGATATTAAAGTAAAGGGAGTGAGATCCAACTCAAATCTTCTTAATTAGTTGTCAAGAAACTAGAGTTCAAGCTTGACACACCCATCAAAATAATTATATATATGGTCAAATGATGGTAGAACATTTGTCATCCAATGAACATGACTCCTAAAGACATATATAATAATGTACTCATTATATTACTATCTAAGCAACCAACTTTATAATAACCATCGACCAATTCTAAAAAAGAATTGATGAAAATTTGTATGGTACAAATATTGTCAAATAATCAAAACAGCCAACAATGATATAATAGCTATCACTTTATGGTATGATATCATCATTACAACACAATATAAGCAATGCATCAATGATATAATAGCTATCACTTTATGCTTAAGAAGTCTAGAGAGATGAATGTCTAGTAAACCGCTTGCATTGTGATAAATAACCAATCAAGATAGAACGACTGTCACCCAATTCTTAGAAAATTTAAAGAGAATATGGCGTGATATTTTGTCAAGACATGTCCATACAATCGATTAAGTATAGAGCAACTCACATCTGACGTACCAAAAGTTTAGATAGAGGACATAAAATACATATTAGATATAGATAACCAGCCATGATAGGATAACTGAATAAACAACACCTGATGCTTTAGAAACTTTAAAAAGGTTTAAGTATGATATCAGGATATCCTTATTGATGACATTAACATGCATATCATATTTAACAAATAGACTTACATATTTATACAAAGCACTCAAATATTTAATATCACATTCAAAATAGCTCAATTATAACTTTTTAAAGGTGAAATATATCCTTCCATGCATAGATTTAAAATACAAAAATAGTATGCGTGAATATGAAAAATTGTGTGCTCCATATCTTAATTTGATATTAAACTTTTTAATGATTAAGAAATCAGTTTTATTTTTAGAATTTAGGCATGGGATTATTTGAATTTATGCAACCGAGTTTTATATTACACATACACACTTCATCATCACTCATTTTTTTAAATCATAGGAACACACAATTCAAGTATTTACATGAAAATAACAATAATTTTATTAATATTATCCACCACGACTTAAACCACTTACCCTAAATGAAACAACAAGAACAACCATAGACTTGAAACCTCAAACATGACATGCAACACCAATTAGTTCACCACGAACAAGCCATATATATAGTTTATAATAAACTGATGAACCGATCATTCATCATAGTGGTTCTTGTTGGCAAGGTTGCAGTGGCGGCGGATCTCACCATTTTCGCCGGTGAGCGGATTGTTCTCTGAGAGAAGCGTGATGGCCCGTGCAAAGTGCTCGAAGAAGTAATCTTGGCTCTTGGCCATCTTCTTAACATAGGGTCGGGTTTTCGGGTTACTGGCCAACTCATGGTCTACCATGAGAAGACCCTTGTTGTCCAGGATGTTGCGGTAGTAGTTATTGTCCAACTTCATGGGAGTGCCACGATCATTTCTCACATATTGTACCGATTTTGGGTCTGGGATCGGGTCGTAGCACTTCTTGAGCATGTGAGGAACATGGTCCGGGTTCAGAGCTGGGTCGACTTCAGGGTACAACCTGTGCACTAGCTTCACGCAGTGCGTTCGGCCTACGCTGTGTGCACCTACACCCCAATTCATAAATAATAATAAAAAAAAAAAAAAAAAACGTTTCTAGATGTGCTAAACTCTATGTATGTAATTGCCCCCATAATTTTGTTTTAACAAAAGAGATACATATCTGAAGTACAGAAACATGACGTTGAATTAATCCAACTTGATGTATTATTTATATATATATTTTGTAATAAGGCATTATCATGGCAGACCAGGACTCTGCCGGCTTTGAACTATTCTTCTGGGTTTTTTTAGCATGCAGTAGGTAGGTTATTATGAGTATATAAAATATACATTTTATTACATATGCAAGCTAACATATATAAGTAAAACATAAAAAAACAGAAGTTTAGATATTAGATCGATATATAAATACATCAGAATTGATTGGTATGTATGCAAGTCTTAATATCTTTAATGGCATTAATATATGTTCCTCTTCTCTTAGTTTGGTGAAGTTGTGGATGCTCATATTGGAAAGAGGCCGAGTAGTTCGATATTTTAGGTGTACTATATATATATATATACTTATAGGGTGCTACAAATAATGATTCATAATTGTTTCTTATTTTGGTCTGGCATTTGGGTTGGTAGAGAAAACGGCACAGCTTTAAAGTTTAAGGCTGCATGCATGGCTGAATTAGAAACTCTATTAATATAATATCAGAATTTTAACATTTATGGTTTATTTTTACAAAAGCTTATGTGACTATTTATGTAAATGATCCGAGGAGAAAAGTGAGATTAAAATGACTAATTATGTGTAGATTATGTTTATTTGAAGAGTATTAAAGAAATAAATTATAATTCATCGTCAATATTCCTAAAAAATACAACTTTATTCTAATAAAATATAGCTTTTTTATTTTAAATGCTAAAATGTCTTTAAAATAACTATAAACTCTAGCCTTAAATGTTCTTTTTCTTTTTTTTTTTTGGTACACCCCAAGACTTTTGTATTTACATTTCTAATAATATCTAAACTTTAATTTTCAAATACATATCATCTTATTTATACAAGAAAAAAATATAATTAAATTTTTAAAAATTAAAATGATAATATTTTTCATGTGAAATCGGAAGATTTGGTAAGTATTTTACATAATTAATTAATATGTATGTCTAAATGTCCCGTATATCAAATAATAAATTTGCAAGAAAATAATAATAATAATAATAATAATAAACATCAAAATCAAAACATTGTAAACTAAAAATAACAAAAAATAAAAATAAATTAAAGAAAAAACATTAAAATTATCATAGCACTTTTTTAAAGATGCAGCAATGAATACGGTGTCCGATCTCTACCGTATGCAAAATTAAAAATAGGACTATGAGAAATGATGTAGATAAGACACCGTATGTAAAAAGAGATTTTCTACCCAAATAAAACAAACAACATATGACACTAACGAAATACCACGACACTAAAGTTAGCACATCCATGACAGCTGTCGTTTATATATTTTTAAGTACTATCGTCCGATTCAAATAAAAAATTAAAATTTTATTTAATGCAGATCTACCCATTTCGCAATTTCGATGCAATAAAATAAAGAAATTATATATAAATTTTATTCAATGCAGATCTATTCAGAATTCTACTGCAGTTGTACCAGCTAGCCGATGAAAATGAAAATAAATGGTTTACTAAATAAAAAAAAACCCTATTAAAAAGAAAATTTCCAATTATATACTCAAGCTTCTAATTAGGTTGAAACAGGAAATAATGTGGCAACTATTTTTTTAATATTAAAGCTCTATAAACATCCAAATAATCATGAAAAAGACGATAATTTTAAAATTTTTATGAAGTAGAACTATAATTTATTCCATTTTACAAAAAGATTACAAATCTTATACTTCTATATTACGATGTCTTCAACAAGAAAATAAAGGTTGGGTTCGTCAAACTCTTGAACTTTACTTCTTGACGGATAAAAGACAAACATTTCATTAAAAAATTTATTGATAATATCAATATTGACGTGTACGGTTCTGATTACACATCGTCATAAATATTCAAGCATGCAAATATTCAAGCATGCATATAATTATATATATATATATAGTTACGGTAAAAAACTGACTTATAAATTCTTATTAAGTTTTTAATAAAATATTGAAATTATTAAATTACACTTCGACAGGATTACAATACAAATTTTTTTTTATTTTTCACACAATGCATTTTATATTGGAACTAACAGTTGGGAAAATTTTGCGTACGTCAGAGTTATAAATATGATACAAAGAGATTATATCTGTGTTATATCCTCTAACTTCCATGTAACCTCCATATAACCTATTGTATCTTTTATTAAGTTCCACATTTTTTTTTTATATATTTATAAGTTACAGTTAGGTTTCATGGAAATTACATAGATTATAACACAAATATAATCACCTTGTATCTATTATATAATTCTGACGTACGCAGCATGGCGTACAACGCGATTTTGGGGATAGAAAAATATTATAAATACAAATATAAAAATTTAGATGTTAGACATCTAATGCAGAAAAAATTATGGAAGCCCATGGTCAATAAAAATAAAAAGCATGCTGCAGGCATATTTATTTAAAAAAAATAATAATAAGAAGAAGAGGAAGAAGAAGAAGCTTACCAAGAAGAGCAACAAGTCCAGGGGTATCAATACCCATAGCTCCAAACTTATCCAAAACAGAGGAAATACTCTCGTTATGATCAGGCAGAAACTTCTCCACCACCTCCGCCCTACTCTTCCTCCCATCTCTCCTCCCTGTTTTCAGGGGAATACTCGGCCCTCCAACCTTCATTCATTCATTCATTCCATCACAAACAGCTTATTAATCAATCGCTAGTATAACATAAACTGATGAAAGAAAAGAGTAAACAGGATTAAGGAATGTTACTGCAACGATCCCATCTCTGGCTGAGAGAACTAAGATATCAGCGCAGGAGACAACTCCAGGACACTCCCTCTCCACCGCATCCTTGATTTCTTCCAAGTATCGGAAATTCCTCATGCCAAAGCTTCTGTCGGTCTCCTTCTCGGAGAGAGTCTTTCTGGTCGAGTCCAGAAGCAGAGAGGCGTCGCAAGACTGTATATTTATGCGTCCGTTGGAAAGAAATTAATGGGTCGTTGGAAAGAAATTAATGGTTTTTTTTTTTTTTTATAAAGCGATTGATTTGTCGTTTAAATTTTAGGCCTTCTCACCTGGACAGCGCAGTCATGGAAAATGTTTCGGATCCAGGAGAAAGCGGTGTTCTTGTGGCGCTTGTAGAGGAGTTTGACTTGTTCGCGGATGATGTCTTCGGCTTGAGGGCAGGATTCCTTGTAGAAGTTCATCCTGAGGCCAGAGGAGGAGGGGGTTTCGGCATTCGTGAGGGATGAGAGGGCGAGGAGGGTGAGGAAGAGTAAGCTCCAGCAAGAGGAGGAGCCCATCTCGTCTCAGGGGAGGTTTCTTGTTTGGAGAAGAAGGAGAAGGAGAAGGAGTAGGATTTGTGAGCGCTAAGTTTGGCTTCCGATTGCTTTAATAAAAGACTAGAAATTAGGTAAAGAAGAGCAGTGGTATTTACATACAAACCACACAGATTTTATGTATTTACACATTCAGTTATGTTTACATGCAAAACTCTTAAATTTTTAGTATCCGTATTAAATATATCATTATTACAAATTTTGTAGAAGAAAAGTTCACGATTTCATGCATTAGATTCATAATGCCAAACTATTATAAACATAAATATTAAATTTTAGATGTAAGATATGTAAATATAAAGGAATTGTGTGGTATGTGTATAAATTCTTTATGAATTTATGAAGTATATAGAAGGCATAAACTTATCTAATTTATACAGAGCTATCTAATTTACATATTAAATATGAAAATTTTCTTAATTGAAAATCAAATTATTGAGAAATAGATTTCATTTTTGTTAAGTGGGCCTCATAACTTCACCAGGAGTTGAGTTGGTCAAACCGAGCATACTAGACCTCCATAACTGAAAAAGATATTGACGTCCGCACGTCTGGACAACTAACCACCGGCTACCACGTCACCCGCAGCTGACATGTATAATGATGTGGCAACCAGTGGTTGACCGTCCGATTGTGCGTTGTCCGGATGGAATATTTTCTTTTTTGACGGATCATCGAGTCCTAAGTCCCAAGGTATTTGGGTTTGATTTTGAGTTCATAAGATCCAAGGATTCCAAAGGGATATAAAAATACCTTGGACCGTAATGGAGAAATTTGATTTATTCACCAGTTCTTGATAACCATATTATAGTTTTTTTTAAAAGATTGACGGAGCTGACCATGCAACATTTGACATGAATCTACCGAGAAAAATAGATTTGTGAAGATGCATTTTTTAGGAATTTGGATTCAGGTCGATGAACTGCTTGATAGATTAACTAAAACAGTTATATTTTTATGAATTTTCTTCTCCTGCAATGCTTCCCCCGATTCAAACAAACTGCTTGTTTGGAGTCAGAATGAAAAAAAAAAACAAGTGTATTTTAATATTCTAAGTGTATGGGTCTATTACTAAGCATGAAATTGAACATTTGGAGAGTTGGATGGATCAGTTTTTAAATCGGTCTAACCCATTACAATTGAAATCTGAATTCTAAAAATAGAAATAACATGGATTTTGATGAAACAAAATCAAGCGGATCTGAATTTAATTTAGTTTAAACGGTTTAATTATGAAATGCTTATAATTTTGCTGTTAACTGCATAACTTAACATGTATGATATCTGTATAAATTTTATGAAACACTATTCGATTTCAATTTTTTTAGGCTTTTTGGTTTGTTTAATTAAATGAAAATTAAAACGAAAACAATAACTTAAAACTGAATATTAAGGTCTTGATAATTAAAAACCGAAATGAATTTTTGAAATCGAACCAAATTAACTTACATTTCTTCGGTTCGGTTCGGCCTGTTGTTTTTGACCAAATAATGGGCACTCTGGGGTTGTACTAGTTGAGTCGAGTCAAGTATAGTGTAGCTGGACTTGGCTTGGTCGAATTATAAATTTTTCATGTTCAGTTCGAGCGTCAGTCGAGCTTTACATCTATGTTCATTGGCTTGTTTAAAATTTATATTGTTCATCCATGATTTATACTTGACTTATTTATGTTAATTGAATAAATTAAAAATTCAAACGAGTACTTAACTTTTCATATACAATTTAACTTTGATTATTATTTGATTTTTCATGTAGAACTAGAAAATAAGCTAAAATCTTGGATGTGTTGAATTCTGAATTATCTTTTATGAACAAGCCTTGAGAGTTGGAGTCGAGTGAAAGAAAGAAAAACGAGAACATTAATGATTATGTTCAAGATTGCTTCATTTAACTTTCGAGTTTAAAATATATTGTTCAAAGTTGATTATTTACTAATTTGAACAGCAATAAGCCGACTTTAATCAAGCCTAGTTCAAGCACATTGGTTCAATTTAAAATATTACTTATTTTATCCATGTTATTTCATTATAACACTAGCTTAAATTAATATATTTTATCTCAATCGTACCACTTGGAATTTTAGAACTAAGCTCAAGTTCAAGCTAGAGCTTCAATAATTAATCAAGCTCAAGCTCTAGCCAAGAGTGGCTTGAACTTGACTTGACTTTCCTCACAATTTGACTCAAAAAATTTTTCATGACAAAAAGGAAGTGATTCATTTTCATAACAAAAGAAAACAAAAAGAATTAAAATATGCCCAAAATAATTTAGTAAATATAATTTCATTAAAATGTTTTTTATCATAAGATCTATTTGACATAATCAGTAAAAAGTAGCAACTAAGGAGATATTTGGTAGGACACTTTTAACAGGAAATAACCATAAATAAATTCGATAAATTTATCATTAAGTTAAATTCAATTTTTATATGTTTCGTTTGTTAAATTTGGATTTATCAAATTAACTAATTAGTTATTTTAGAATAAAATTATTTCAAATAGATTTATGTCAAATATTTCAAATGAACATAACTAGATTTAATGTAATTTGGATCAAATTTAATGATGTTTAGATTTATTTAACTCGAAACCTCTTGTAGGCAAATACATCCACTCTTCATTGTTCAGCCACTTGAAACACAACCCTCCAATGCCCGCCTTCTCCCCCTAGCAAGATGTCTCCTCCATCTCTTCTCTCCCATGACAGATACAACCCCAACGCCAAACCTAAAACAGAGACAGCGAGCCATGCCCCCACCCCATAACTCCACATTCTCCATCCACCGCTGCTTTCGAAACTCCAATTTTCAAAATTTGCCCCCCAAGTCTTTTCCCACAACCGCCGGCGATAGAAGCGAAGATGATACACAATCCTCCACGCCGCTCGCCGACGATCTATTCCGATCTCCCCGACGCTCCGGGGGCTACACCCAAGGTGATGCTTCCTATCTCTCTCTCGTTCGTTTCTACTCCGATCCCCCCAACATTCCTGCCCTCCGTGCACTCCTCAATCGAATGCGCTCCGATCGCCGTCCCTTCCCCGAACGCTTGTTTCCCCCAATCATCCGTGCATTTGGCCGCGCCGGACTCCCCTTTGAAGCTCTCCACCTGTTCGACGAAATGCTCCCCTCCTTCCAGTGCACCCCTTCCACCTTCTCCCTCAATTCCGTCCTCTCATCCGTCGTCTCATCCCCAGACTCCTCCTCCCTTGCCTTCCCATTCTTCCGCCGCGCCATCCGCGTCCATCACTCCCTCAACCCCAACCTTCTCACCTTCAATCTCATTCTTAAATCACTCTGCTCACCCCCTTCCCCTTCCCTCCCCCTCGCCCTCCACCTCTTCCGCTCCATCCCCCCTCGTGGCCTCCGCCCCGATGCTTACACCTACACCACCCTCATCGCAGCCCTCAGCCGCACCAGCCGCCTTGACGACGCCTTTGCCCTTCTCGACGAGATGCAGCTCGATGGCGTCGCCCCTGCATCCGCCACCTTCAACTCTCTCCTACACGCCATCCTCCGCACCGGCGATCTCCGTCGTGCCGCTAATCTCGCCCGCTATATGCTCCTCAAGGGCTGCCCGCCCACTCTCGCCACCTACAACACCCTCGTCCATGGCCTCTGCCGCCATGCCCGCCTCGAAGAAGCGCTCGCCCTCATTGACCGTATGGTCCTCCGCGACGGCCTCGTACCGAACGAGGTCACTTATGGCGCTCTGGTTGACGGCCTCGTCAAGCTGGGCCGCATTGTCGACGCCCGCAGGGTGTTCGACGTTATGCGTGAGAGGGGAGTTCGGGCTAACGAGGCCGTGTCCGATCCGACGGTACCGAAGAGGCGATGAATCTTTGGGCGGTGATGATATCCGATGGTGTCAAGCCCAACGAGGTCCTCTACACCGCGCTTGTTGATGGGCTCGCTCGGCACCAGAAGGTCGCCGAGGCGGAGGACGTGATCGCTAAAATGACCGCGGGAGGCTGCAATCCTAACGTGCGCACCTTCAGCGCGCTCATGTGGGGCCATTTCAGGTCCGGTAATAGCCATCAGGCGCTTGCCACGTGGACCAAGATGGTCCGCTGTGGCTGTGAACCCAACCAAGTGAGCTACAGCATTTTGATCAATGGGCTCTGTGGGGAGGGTAAGGTGAAGGAGGGTATGATGGTATGGAAGAACATGGTAAGCCGGGGTTGCACCCCCGATGTGATGGCCTACACGGCGATGATCCGAGGGCTGTGCATAGCCGGGAATGTGGATGCAGGGCTCAGATTGTTCTACGATATGATGGCCCGTGGCGATGCGGAACCGGACGCGGTGGCGTATAATGCACTGTTTGATGGGTTGATTAAGGCCGATAGGTTAATCCAAGCCTTTGATTTGTTGAGTTCGATGTTAGAGAGAGATTGTGACCCAGATGAGGTCACGTGCAATATATTTCTGAAGGGGTTGAGGTGGGGGGAGGAGGAGAAGGGGAGGGAGTTGATGGAAGGGATGATTGTGAGAATGGTGAGGAGAGGGAGAATTAATGGTGCGGCTTATATTGTTTTATTGATGTGTAAGAAGTACATGTTCCCAAGGAGTGAAATTTGGGAGAAGATGGTGAGTTCGTTTTGTAATATGAAGAAAGTGAGGGTTGTAATTGATAAGATTTTTGGTATAATCTCATGTAGAAATGATTTATGAAGAAAATTTGGGTTTTCAAATGCCTTTTGACATTGAAGCTCATGTTGACATATTTGTCAAGGAAGGTTGTTTTTCTTTTAATTTTTTTTTCCATTAAAATGACAATGTCTACTAGATTTTACTTAGGAAGAATTACATGCATATCACTTAATTCTTATATATTTGAATATTTATAACTTAAACTTCAATTTTTACATATGTCACCTCACTAATGTGTGAAAAATGCTATTCTTAGTTTTGGTGTCCAAGTTGATTGGTATTTTAGGACTTATCATGGATGGTGAATGATCCAAGTGCTACTAGTTAAGGCTATTTTATCTTTTCTAGGAAGGTTTAATGCTCATGATAAATTAATACATAATTAATGGTGATAAAAATGTAATCAGGGGTGTTGATGGATTGCTAAGATGGATGAGTATCTTGTTGTTCTTGAGTTCAACGCTATCTCAAATTGGTGTATAGATGTCACATATACTGAAATTGTTTAGGAACTTTAAGAGCAGCTTGCTTTAGAAAGAATACTCATACTTGCCACATTGTTATCATCATAAAAAGTTTTAGAAAGAATACTCGAAACTTTTATGAGCAGCAAGGAAATGAAGAGAACACTTTTTAATTTGAGGAGACAAATGCTAAGTTCTGATGTTCGGTGTATTCTATCAAAGGTTTTTTGTGTGGAGCGGTAAGTTTTAGAGGTGGATTTCAAAGCGAAGACTTTCTTTTTTGAGATCGAGAGGAAGGCTTGAAACAAAATTTTTTAAGTTTTGTTGATTGTAGAGAGATGATCTGGGCAAGTATTTATGTACATTTGTGATATTTCATAGTAGAAATTTTTTTAGTGATGTGGCTTTGTAGTTTTTTATCGTTATCAGGTTTTTCTATGTTAAAATCTTGGTGTGTTTTTTACCTTGAACTTATTTATTTTCACCTCATTTCATGTAGAAAACGAATCTTAGAAAAAAGAGGAAGATCAAAGAGAACCACCTGCTACTTGCTTCTCCCCTTTTGCTTTCTCAAGCTTGTTAGCACAATGAGAGAAAATAAAAAACAACACACCTTGAAAGCACAAGAAGCATTAGTGTATATATTTATATACAATATAAAGGGAAAAAAATAGAAATACTATTAATAATTAATTACAGTCTCTCCCAGTTTTTGGGAAGGAAAATTCACATCTGTATGGTTGGCTCCTGGGCTTCAGACTTTATTCAAAAACAAAAGAAAAGCATATCGTAGCTAAAGCCAGAGAGCCCTCAATTCCTTATAATTATAGCTAATAAAGAAAATCTTAGTACTTCTAAAATTACTTTCTAGAAAGGATATTCATGATATATCCATCCATGTTGCAGCCAAACACTGCCTTAATTAGATACCCAAATTGAATTTCACTGCTTTGAATGGGAAATATATAATCTATAATTTGAGTTACTCTGGAGCAAATGTTACAGTACTCATGTGATAAATCGGAGCACAAATTTTTCCTTTTTTATTCATTTAGGGTTAAAAAATGATTGATTATTTGTATCATAGTGCGATAAAAAATCATCACCAGCGGGCAGCAATAAAGCCTTCTGGTTTCACATTCCGAATAGGCGAAGTATACGATTTTGATTTTATGAATATGCTTGTATGGTTTTGTGTAGATATTATTGCTGGATTCCAAATAAAATCAAATTCGAAGTCTATAAGTTTGTTGGGACATTTACATACGGATCACCCAATTTCTATTTATTAACATATGAACCATCTAAAATTTCAATTTTTTCCATAAACATGAAGTACCTTTCTTTATTGGTTTAAACTTAACTAACCCAATCCGTTGATTAAAATTCATTTGACAGAACTAATTTGATTCTCCTGGATCAACTTGAGTTTAAGCTTGATTCGAGCCTGATTTGAATCATATGAACACTTCAGAAATCTAATTCAAAAATGTTATATGTTCATGACACCGGCCTTGCGAGACTCTACCCTGCTCCTCCGGAAGAAATCTCTAGAATTGAAATAGAATTAATTTTTTTCAAGTACAGTGATTGTTTGGAACCGAGCTGAAGTCCTCTTTTATTTCAATCCCAACTCACGCCAAAATTTGAATTAATTTTTGAGCAATTAACTATCTTCGAGCTAAATTAGTTAAATTCACAACTCTATCATCAAAACTAGGCTGTAGATCTACAAATTAGACTGATCAGTTCAACTATAAATCTACCAAAAGGACTTGAATTTGCTCTAAATTTACCTCATCTCTATATTTTAATCCAAAAAGGAAAAAAATCTAACCTATATAAGCAGAATCTATTACGTGATTCTGCAAGTAGAAAGGCTCTACTCCACAAAGCCAATGCCATGGGAACGTAAGTCAGCAATTCTGAAGCTGATATAAAAGAAACTAATGTTAAAAAAACTGCAATGACTACTACAAATTTATTTTAATTTTAAAAAGTACGATCGTAACTTTCCGGCTGCCACCTCATTTTAACTTGATACTTGTAAAAAATAACTTCCTACCACAAAAATTTCTAGAAACCCCAAATGAAACTCTTGTGGTGGTCTGAAAAGCAAAGCGGCAAAAAAATTGCCGCAAATAGATCCTAAGTTCCGACCTAAAAGACGAGCATAAGAAATACTTGATACTTAACATGCCCAGCAATAGCCAGGTTTGGCGCGCCACACCAATCAGCTAAAAAAAAAGGCTTTTTCAACATAAGCCCTCATAAAAATTTGAGCACAATTACAAACCACAAAGAAAATAAGATTAAGCATAGAAAAATACTCATAAATGAATATGAGCTCAAATTCAACAATTCTCACATAGAACTTTTTTGTATCTGGCATTAATTGCAAGGCCGTCAAAATTAGAAACCTTATTTCCTCTAGAGTAAAATTTAAAGATACTCCATACGGTTTTTGGCTTAAAGATACTCAACAATTCTCACATAGAACAATTATCAGGCTCATTAGTCATCATGGAGAATTAATAAGGTTCCTGATTACATAAGGAAGAATGCCGCCATGATTGAAGTAGGCCAATTCCACCTGCCATGTCAAGTCAGAAAATTCATTAGCATCACGGCATGAGAAGGATATATTTTGCCAGAGATTAAACTGCACAACTAAAGCGCTTTGTAACATGAAGACATGCTTAAAACAAATCAGTAATATCAAAACTTTTAACGATAGGGCCAAAAGAGGATAAATTATCAGAACAACTCATTTTATACATTGAATTTTTGGGGCATTTACATACATACCACCCAATTCCTAAATAGTTACATATCTGACCCAAATCTGACATATCACATCAAGGATACCACTATATTGACTTTGAAGAGTTAAATACACCTTATCATGCATACATAATGCGGAATGAATGTAATAATTGAAGTTAGGTGTAAGATGTCAATATACAAGAATTTATGCATGTAAATCTTCCTAAATTTTTTACATTCTCTCTCGCCCAAGGAACCAAATTTTCTTGTACATTTAAACAGTGTAGTGTGCCACATTTTGTACACAAGGAAATGCAGGCCTCGTTGATTACAGAAATCTGCTTCTCATTTTCTTATGCAAAGCATCGTAAATATTTGGGGCAATTACATAAATACCACCCAATTCCTGTGTTTACATATCTAACACCTAAATAATTTTCTTTTTTACATTGCTGAACACAGGTTTCTCTGAATCACACCCAAGAAATAGAGTGTAAATAAAGAGAGAGAAAGAGAATGTTGTGAGGAATGGGAGAGGAAACATACGAAAGGAACAGAGATCAGGGAAGAATGCCCTCGTGTCGAGGTTCTTCATTCTTAGAAAAAAATATCCCCTAAAAAGTCCCTTGATACATTTATTTCATCTATTTATAGTGGTTAGGTCTTCGTGTAAAGAAGACTCAGATCCATGTCACCCTTGCTATCATAGTCTACAACCTTGATTGGGGTCGACCACGGGTTAGCACGTGGGGGCGCGAAGGCAAGTCACTCGATTCCGAGTGGTTGACTTCCAGCATCCGACCCTGGGGTACTAACTGCTTGCCTTTCTTCTCTAGATACTCGCTTTTAACTGCTCGGCCATCAGCCACCTTAGGTGTTAGATAAGTAAATACATAGGAATTGAGTGGTATATATGTAAATCTTCTTAAACACTTTTACTCGCTGTAGCTTTACGGTTAAGTTGTGAAGCATTGCACGCAATTGTTAGACACTATAGATATGTATGAGTAAAAAAGGTTACTGATATTTTCTCAATCTCAACTGCATAAAGTTTAACACAAATGGCAATCCTTATTCCCCGCTAAGCTTAATACAAATAGCATTAACTTGGTTATTATTAAGCATACAGTGATTTATGCTGTAGAAAGCGAGTTTATTGGCTCGACTAGGCTTGGAATTTTATTTTATTTTATTTTATTATATTTTTATTTATTATTATTATTATTATTTTTGCATGTTGAGCAGCAAACCTTATAATTCTTCCTTTGTTAACATTCGAGTGCACTAGGCCCGATTTGGAAACAGATTTGGAAACTTACTTTGCTTCATTCAGTGGCCACAGACCAACTACTTCGTAGAATATGTAAAGGAGAGGCTAGACCCAATAAGACCCACAAAATAAAGTTTGTAACTTCAAATTGAAATGATTTTGCTAAAAAACTTAGGGTCTGTTTGGGGCAGTTGAGGCTTCTCAGCTTTCAGCTGTAGTTGCGTTGCCCTATGAAGCTACTGCGGGGAAGCTGATTGTCTGTTTGTTGCAGCTGTATGAAAATAAGTGTGGGGTAGCTGTTTTTGAAAAAATGATCATTCTATCCCTGAAACTAACTGACCTTAATTCTTGTTTTGCAGTGGGGATATAAGATTGCGTGAGGTGTCGATCCAATTTGTTTACTAATATGACTAATAATCTATTTGAAAAATAAGATTTAAATGTTCTTCTACAATTTGTTTACTCCTAAAATTCATTTTAGGTTCAATTTTATTTGTCTCATGTAGTTTTCTTCATAAACGTTAGGTCTTTATTTATTGATCCTACAAGCAAGCACAAAATAAGCAAGATCTATTTAATTATTTTCACCATTCTTTTTCAATCAAAGAAACCCCAAAATTTGATTGAGGGAAAAAGAAAAGAGTCTTTTTTAATAGTTATATCATATTCTAAAATAATATAAAAACTACAGAAATATTCTCTAATAAATCAGTAAGAAAAAAAAAGTCATACCAGAGGCGACAATGAATGTAGCAAGCAAGGAAGCATAAAGGCATCTACTTTGCATTTCCTCACTTGATTCTTAGCAGAAGAACATACGTCCTCAAAAAAATTATCGAATAAAAGATTAGAGGACAAAGCGATGTGCTTACGGTAAAAACAGGAATTACCGTCGGAGAAGATGCAGGGGAGGGCCGAACCATTCTTGTGCAGAGCCGAAGGAGGTAGGGAAGTGGTTAGGGCGGAATCAAATGAGGTAGAGGGGTGCGAGGAAAAAGCCGAAGGTAGAACACGGGTGTGGCCCGCGTTTAGGAGAAATCGCGCCGCACTATAAATGCCTCGCCGCCCCAAAAGTCGCATTTTTTGGGCCCCCCGCCGCACTGCAGGCGCCTCGCCGCGCCAAACAAACAAAGCCTTAATCTTTTCATAGAAGAATCAGACTTGTATAGAGCCTTACAACCTTCTTCACAAATAAAACCCTTGACTTCTTATATATTTCCTATTTACAAATAGGACCCCAAACTATATACAATTCTCAACACTTCCCCTCAAGATGAGAAAAAGATATCCGCTAATCTCATCTTGTTACACAACCTGGATAGATCTAATGAGCTAAGTCCCTTGATGAGGGAGTCAGCTACTTGCTCTCTAGTAACTACATGACTTATCTCCAGTAGTCCACTATTTAGCTTCTCCTTCATAAAGAACTTATCAATCTCCACAGGCTTGGTTCTGCTGTGTTGCACCAGATTATTGGCAATGTTGATTGTTGACTTATTGTCGCATCACAACTTCATTTGAGCTCATTGGTCCAGCTTGAGCTCTACCAATAGAATTCTCAGCCATAACATCTCGAGAACTCTCAAGGCCATGGCCCTGTACCCTGCCTCTGTTGTCGACCTCACAACTACCAATTGCTTCTTGCTCTTCCAAGAGACCAAATTGCACCCTATAAACATGCAGTATCCTGATGTGAACCTCCTGTCATCGGTACAACCAGCCAAATCAGAGTCAAGGCAGCCCTCAATGCATGAATACCCAATTTTTTAAGATCAACCTCTTCCCTCATTCACTCGAAACACTGCATCCATGTGGCCCTTCCTCGGATCAATACATTGCTTAATGTTTGGTTTGTGTCAAAGCTTGAGAGTATCTCCATGTACACCTCCTCTAGCAGATCCTCATGGAAAAATGCATTCTTCACATCCAGTTGGTATAAAATAGGTCCACTATTCACAGCCAGAGATATGAGTCCCTCTAATGTGCTCATCTTTGCCACTGGTGCAAATGTTTCAACATAGACGATGCCATATGTCTAAATATACCCTATTGCCACCAATTGTGCTTTGTAGTTATCAATCTTTCCTTATGGAATCTGCTTCATTGTGAAGTCCCATTTGCACTTGATTGGTTTTTTTCCTGTTGGCAGCAACACGAGCTCCCACATCTTATTCTTATTGAGAGCACTAAGTTCCTCCATCATAACAACCTTTCACTTTGGATTTTCCTTAGCTACCTTCCAACACTTGAGTATAGAGACAGTATCCAAAAATATAATGAATGCTCCGTATACATGTGATGTTAGAGTATGAGACAAACTGAGCAATGTTATGTGAAAAACAAAAACAATTAGAAGAATAACGCATTGCTATGAGAGACCCTCCTTAACGTCATGGGAGTGGTAGAAGAAGGGATAGGAATCATATCGCTTGTGTAATCGGATTTAGAGGTAGAAGTTGTAAGTGCCTCAAGAGTCGGGATAGACCAAACTTGTTGGCACGAGTGGCACGACGGACGTTTCCTCATTTTGCCTCCTCCTTGTATACACCCTTAGCTCCCCTTGGGCTTGAATACCACCACCTTCGGGCTCATTTCTCAGGGAATGGCTCTTCCTCATTTGATCCTTCCCACACAATGGGACAACGCCTCATTCCCACATGTAACAATCTCTCACCATCACTACTCTCCCCCTCTCGCCTCATACCTTCATTATCTAACGAGTCACCAAAGGGTGAGATCACCTCCAATGAGTAGTGCAGTTTGAATTCTCTAAAACACTCTTTTCCTATTAGGATCCAACAAACATAACCCTTCTGAGTTTCAGAATAGCCCACAAAAATATACTTTCACAGTTTTGGTATCTTGCTCCCCTATTGATGGTCTATTGTCCTTCAGGAAATATATATAACCAAACACCTTCAATGAGAGGATCATGTCATTCTCTTCTTTCAACAACTCACAACGAGATTGCCACCCCAACACAATTAAAAGCATTCCGTTGATCAATTGAGCGGCTGTCAAAACTGTTTGCTTCCACAAGTGTTTTGGGACCTTCATCGAGATCATCATGCTTCATACTATCTATAGAAGGTGTTTGTTCTTCCTTTCTGCTACTATGTTTTGCACCGGTGTGTACGGACAAGTGGTTTAATGTATCCCCTTAGCTGAAATCAAAAGCCTTGTTGGCATACTCTATCTTGTGAAAGTTTTTAAAGCAGACAAGCACATCATTTTTGTTTCTCATCAGATATAACTAAGTAATACAAAAAACAAAAAAAAATCAATGAAAGTCACAAAATATCTATAGTCATTCGTGGAGTTTGTAGAACAAGTTCCTCATACATTTGAAAGCATTAAATAAAAAACACAAGAACTCTTATTGCTAGAACTAAAATAAGAGTTTCTAATATGTTTACCTAACTAACATGCAAGACATAATTTTTTGTTTATTTGCCTTCTTATACAAAGACAGATACAAACGGCTTAAATGACTAAATGAAGAATGTACCAAGTGTCTATGAACTAGCAACAACACAGCCTCCACACTTTTCTCAGAT